AAAGCAAGAGCAATGATAAATAAATAGTGCAACCCAGGATTCCTGTGAGAGAGAAGGATACAGACTCAGTAATAATAAGGGTCATAAACATAAAGGAAAGGCAAACAGGAAATAATGGAGGGTACAGGTCGGGACACAGCAGGGGTTGGATGTGACTGGGACGTGGAAGTGGCAGCCACACTGCCAGCTGGTGGCTCTCAGAGCTGGTATTCTCTGACCCAGGTTGCAGTGGGTCATGGTACTCTTGTTGCATGGCCTCTGAGTGCTGGGGGCCCGTGTGCCAGAGAAGTCCCTGTGGTGCTGCTGTGCTGCCCCAAAGGATCACCCCAAAAGCACAGTCAAGAGGTGCAGGCAGTCCCACATGGAGACTTGTTCTCCTGCAGACCGTGCTGGAGGTCTGCCATGGAGTCAGTCCAGCACATCTAATGAATACTGAATTCACTGCATTTTCTAAAGAAGAAAAAAAAATTAGATTTATTTTCAAGATGGATCATCATGTCTTTAACTTTTTTTCTTTTTTTTTAATAAAGACCAGTGCATAGCAGGAGGGAACCTCTGCCACAAAAAATCAATATCAATTACTACCCTGTAAAAGACTAGGCACGCACGCTCGCTGTGGCAATGCCCAAACCGAATCCCCTTTGTGCAGGGAGTACTTAGCTCTTTCATAGCATTTGTGGCTGTAGTGGTGGTTGAGCTATTACAGGAACAATTGATGAGGCTAGCTGACGTCAATACTTGACAAGAACTTCCTGTTTTAGAAGTAAAAATAAAAATGGGTATCTTTAAAAATATAATTTAAGGTAATCAGAATGCCATATAATAAGAACTCTGTTGCACATAATTGGTGCTCCTCTCTCATTTAGCATTGCAGTTTGTCTGTATTCAATTTCCTCACATGGTGTGATTATTGCTTTTGATTATTACTATCTACATCTAATGACAAGTAAACTTCTGGGTTTTTTTCCTCAATCCTTTCAAAATGACCTTGTGCCATTCTGCATTTAAGGGGAAAAATACACATGTACCTGGCTGGGCAACATCATAAATAGGTTTTGCAGTCACAGGTTGCTACTTCAGTCAGTATTCATCCTGGTTGGCTTTGGTGAGCAGCTGTGTGTGAGCACAAGCAAAGACACAGAATTTCACCTCAGAGGTAAATTTCTTGTACTGCACTGGCACTTTGGTGTTTCAGGGTTAGTGGTTTTATGTCAAGGTCAGGCTGCAAATCAGCATTTTAGACTAAGAACCAGAGTCCCCATCTTTATCTCCTAATCTTATGTGCCATCCAGTATTTCCGTGGATCTCCTGAACTATTCTGCAAAACTCAGTACAATACTTGAAACCCAAATATTACCATGTAACATTGCAGGGACTATATAAAAGCTCACAGAAGCATGGGTTGAAAGGAAGGTTTTAAACCCTTCCAGCTAAAGGTTAAAGAGCCTTTCAAGCTGTAATAAACTAACTTTTGTCCTTGTCTCCAGTCATGGCAGAACTCCCCTTGCTTGGCCACTCAGGGGTGTTGTTAGAAGAACAGGGAAAATAAGGGAGTGACAACCTTGGATGGGCATGGATGTGAGCTCCTCTCACCTGCCTCAGCTCAGGTGGGAATTTTGGAGGCACCACAGTTCTTTCCCCTGGTGCTGGCTGCAAAGGCAGCATGGTATTTTGCTTCTCCAAAGGCAGGCTGACCTCTCTGTTGCTCTATGGGTTTGGGCAGGAGAGGGTTTCTTTTCCAACCTCCCTTCCCCAGAACACTCTTCCCCCACAGCCCTCCATCGTGGCATTAGCTGCTTGTGTTATCACAGCTCGCCCCCAGTTAATCTGTTCCTTGGCTCTCTGTCCAGGGAATATTAATTTGAAAAAGGGGATCATCAACTTTAACAGCTTTTCTTTTCTGTGCCAGCTGCTGTAATTTCTCCTGTCACCTCAGAGGATTTTTCACTCAATAGTGAGACCAAGAGCTGTGCAGAAAAGGCAAGGAAGCCCTCCATTTGAAATGGGCTCTGCTGAAGGAATGCTCCCCCTCCCCAGGCAAAGGCTGAATTCTCTCCTCGGGTGTATAGAGAGGGCCAGCTGAAATGTGCATATCTAAGTACCGTATTTTTCTGAATGTTGACTCTTACAAGATTTTTGATGAGATTACTAGATGACCTCTTAAAGCCCTTTCCCACCCAATTATTTATTATTCTGGGTCGCTGTAAGATTTCATAATGGCTCCTTTATGACTCCTTACATAGTTTACTTGCTATTGAAGTTAAATGAATTGCTTAGTAAATTCCTGGATGCCCCTTTTTATAACTCAATTGAGTGCTGTATTTTGTGGCTCTGAAATCCTCTGGCACCTCATCTGTTCTCCATGAACTTTCAAAAATCACTGCTGAAGGTATCACACTTCCCTCTGCTAGCTCTGTTAGCAATCTCTGATGCTTGTCATTTGGTCCCATGGGTTTATAAATACTTGCCCAGGAATTCTTTTCATCTTTCCTTTTGATTTACTCATGATTCAACCAAATTGTCTGTAGAATCCAATCCTCAAAGTTGTTCCCCCACCAATCCTTGCCTGTAAAAAGGCAGCAGTAATTGTGTAGAGACCTCAGTTTCCCAGTGTAGGAGAAATGCTCTTGGTTAAGGCTGTCAGCTAAGACCCAGAAATACTAATTGCTGCTGTACATCAAGCAGCTTTCCTGCTCATGATTGCTAACAACACATTGGTCAGATAGCACACAAATTATTCTTCTATAAAGGAAAGTTTTTCATGAACCAAAAAAATATTTGGTCTGAATATCAAGACTGTCAGTACTTGAAGAACTGACTGCTCTGACCACATCTGATTTGATAATTTTGCTTCAAAATTCAGGTTCCTCAGGTCATCAGCACATCAAGTGGGCTATAACAAAATGTGATTAGGCAAGTTATTGTCACAATTGGAAGAATACCAATTTTTTATCCACTGATAATTCACTGATAATATCATGTAAATTCCCTCACATGAACACTGATAGTGATACAAATCTGATAAAATCTTTAGTGAACTGGGCTTAGTAAGGAATATGTAAGCAAAAATTCCCTTGAAAGTGTGAACAATCTTAAGTAATTTGGCAAAAACTGCAATAAAATAAATAATTATTCAGATAAGTTTTACATGGTTACCATATGCCACAAGCTAATGTGTAATTGAATTTAGATGAAGGAAATTTCCATTATATAAAGGTACATTTAAGCAGATGAGAAACAAGTTTAGTAGCAATCAAAAAATTAAATTAAATAAATGAAATAATTTCTAGTTATCAGGGGCACTTTTGTTGAGGGAATCCTGTGACAATAAGCCATATGGACCAATCATATTTCTGACTGTGTGCTGGTATCAAAACACTCTGGCCTGTAGCAGAAGCTGTTTAGCTCTGCTGAAAACCCTTCCTGCACGTTTACAGTCAGAAAATCTTCCATGTGATCTGGAGAAGAAAGGCACCGAGGTCCTGATTCCACGCACACGCATATGTTTACACCCATGAATTAGAGTGGGAACATTCATGTGCAGAAAGCTGAGCATATGTGTTAATCTTTGCAGGACTGACATGCCCAGTCCTGATACAGATCCTTGATGGAGCTTGCTTTCCTGCCAAGTGTTTATCCTAAGCTCCAAATGGGCCAGTCCTCCCTCACGGCAGGGTGTGAGCTTCCCCCACAGCAAGATCTGCCTGCAGAGAGATTTCCCACAGCAGTTCCAAAAATATGTCCTCAGGAGAATACTTTTCCCTACCTTCTGCAAGTCTCAGCCCATGTGACATTCAAACTTTTTTCTTATGTTGCATCCCTCCTTTATTGTAGAAAACATCACTGGCTGTTTTTTTCCCTTTCAGGCTTTTCCAGAGACTTGCTCTTCTATTTCAGTAGTTTTTCAGTGCAATTGATCTCCACCTATGGATATAAGGAGCAGTGGAGTTTAATGTCATCCATCCATAGTTGCAGACCTCAAATTTTACTTTAAAATTGGCAAGAATGGGGTAGGACTTGTATAGAGATAACCAACACTCGTATAACCAAATATTATTTCAGCTTCTGCACTCCAATAGTTACAAGTGGCAATAACTAGATTATTAGATTTCACCAGACACAGGCAGTATTGTGATGTGTGGGTGTCAGTTGAAAAATAGACCATGATCTTTAGAAGAGCCCATGCTGTGATATTTCTAATAGTCTGAATCCACACCGTCTTTGAGCTCTGCTCCTGTGATCACAGCTCTGTCCCTGTCCTCCCTCATGTGTCCCTTCTCTTTGAATAATTTTATTGTGAGAATCCTGTTGAGTAACAAACAATATTTTGCTGAGATCTTCAAGTAAAGCACTCATCATTTTCTCTCCTTCTTCCTCCCCCACACTTTCATTTGCTTTCACACTTGTAAATGTCCCTTCTACAGCTGATCACTTACTGTTAAATATAAAATAATGGAAATCTAGCTGGTAGATTTTCCTGAGAGAGATTATAGGTTCTTAAACAAAACCATTGCATCCAAAGACCATACTGAGTGACTGATGCACAACTTCACCAACTGGTGTTTACAGCTGAAATATTGCTGCAATGTTTGCTGTGTATGTGAACAACAACAAACTTTCCATTGTGTATGTAAACAAAATCCTCTGCAATCCTGTGCATCTGTACAACAGATACCAGGGAACATCCACATTCATGAAGGAAATTGAACATTTTTTCAGTTAACTATTTAAATGGTACTTAGTAGAAAAGCTGAACTAAAATCCAGGCACAAGGATTTTCTAAACAGGGTGATAATAGAAATTCTGCTATGTACTCAAACCTAGGTCATTTGTATTCCTAGAAGCATCACAGTTTTTTGAGCTTCCTGAAAGTGTGATGTGTATCTCTGTTTCCCACATACATTACTCCATAGACATAAGTCATCTGTTAAAACAGGCTCTATAATAATCCAAGAAGTGCCTCTGTATCTACCGTGTTTGTTTTGGCATTTGTGCTCTAGGCAGATGCACAGGAGGAGGGGGTGATGGCTGTCCAAGGGGCCTGTGACACTTGGGGACAAGGAAGTCAAATCAAGACATTTGTGATGTAAAAGTCTGCTCTCCCAGTCCTCTCATCTTTTATAAAGACAAGTGGATCACAAAGTCTGGATGACAGGAATAACCAGATATGTGTGTGTGTTATGTGCATCCACATGACTTCAGCCCCAGGACCTTTGCTTTGGCACCTCTGTTATTAAGCAGCAGAGCACAATGATTACTTTCACAGTAATCACAGTAAAAGAAGAAGCAGGTGTAGGACACACAAAATTGCAGCCCAGACCCTGGGAGCCATTTGTCCAAACCAAAGACACAGTGCTGGGATGAGGATGTGCAGTAGCATGTTTTGGAGTGCTTTGCTAGCAGCTAAAGTCAAACTCTTCTGTTGTGGATTGCTGGAGGAACACGCTGCCCAAAGCCAGGTATAAGTCTGCTGCTTAGCCCAGGATCTTTCCCTTGGGGTATAGGCATTGGTATAGTTAACAGGTAAATGTCACACAGGGACCAAAGAGGAGGAATTCTGAGAGTATTGAGAGGAGGAATTCTCAGAGTATTGTGTTTTTAATTCAGTCATCCTGTGAGCTCTTCATTGAATAAAACAGGACGTGGCAGATATTCAGTCCTTTATTACTTAGAGGAACTTCCTAGCCCACTGGAAACTTGGGAAGATCTCATCTGATCCCACACTGGTGCCTGGTACTATTGCAGTGATTGTTATTCTCTATCTGCACAGACCAGATGTAGCCAGGCATGGGAAGGGCAGTGTTCCTTGGTAATATGTTGAAAAAACCCCAAGTGACAGGATGTACTTTGCATGTGTGTTTTCAAAAAAATCCCATCCCAGCAATGGCAGTATGGACTGTGAAAGAGGAGAATAGCTGTGACTTTCTGTTCCCAGAGGGCCTTTAGCTGACTGGCACCTGAGTATGCATGGATGGTAAGGTGCACTATTTTAGCTTTTTCTTTACATTTCATCCAGCTGTGCTTTGAAGGTAGATAGTTATCAGCATCAGTAGGAGTTGGAAGCAGCAAGGAATGGCATAGCTCAGAGTGCTTCTGCTTTGGGATGGTGCTGTGTTAGCAATCCAGAGGCTCACTGCATCACCAACATTTAACATATTCAATTACTGCAATCTTTGTAATTTGTTGTAGGATACCATTCATTGGTAATGTACCTGAAACAAGAAGGACAACAAAGAAAGCAGTGAAAAGCTTTGTAGCTCTCATTTTCCCCCATGAAAGGTATTTTCTGTGTATGACAAATTCCAATTCTGATAGAAATTGTAACAAACTAACAAAGTGCAGATCTGTTGAATGCAGTAAATCTTTGTCAATAGCACACATACACTAAGGCACAAATCTTCTCCATGAAAAGTCCTCAGCATTAAGAAGCAATTCCTGTAACAATGGGGTTTTTTTGCCTTGTGGTAGTCCCACACACCTACTTATGTAGACATTCCAGACGTGAAATTACCTGAAGTTGGACAGATGTCTACAAAAAATAAACATTCAGAACTCACAGAAAGAGAGAAGTATTAGGAATTATTCTTCAGGCTGCAGCAGTCAGCCCTGAAAATAACATAGCAGGGGCTGGAAAGCATAGCTCAAGTTAATAACTTCTCTATTGTAGGCTTCAGAGTGGCACAGACTCTTTTTGAAAGGGCTAAAGAGAAGCAAATTCTCCCTGTGCACCCTCTGGTTGTGCCATTGCATAACTGCAGTGGTGTGCAGCCTTTGTTAGCTGTTTTAGAAGTGGGCCATGTCTGCAGAGCAATCCTGTAAGAAGGTAGCAGTGAGACAGGATTTCATTCATGTGTCCTCTGAGTACAGTTGCATGCTCTGCTTTGCTGTCCCATCCAGCCTTTTTTTAGTGAGTGCAGTGATCAAAATTAATCAGGGAAGTGGGCTAGGTTTTTTACTTTGCATTTGTTTTTGGTTACTTTTCATTCTTACTTGGCTGCTTTTCTTTCTTCCTGATTCCCCCTTGCCCTCCTTATCCCTGCAGATGAATAAGTGTTGGAGGGAGCACCTGATGTGCCTTTTCCCCAGGCTGGAGCCAGCCCCACTGGCAGCAGAGCCCCTGCTGTAGCTGTGGCAGGTGCCCTGCAGTCCTTGCGGTGCCCCCTGTGTGGTGCCTCTTGCCCTGCCTCTCCCTGTGGGGCGCTGCACACAGTCAGGCACCACCCTGCTGCTCCTGTGCCTGCCAGAGGGTGGGAAATGCTATTCGTGGTGTGGAAATGGGCTCCTCTCTCTTCCATGCCTGTGCCCAGGGAGGAGAGTGTGTGAGGAAATGGCAAGTAAAATACTGTAACTCGCATCTGAGCAAGTGAGCCCCATGTGCCAGGTGATGTGCTAGGTTGAGTGGGTATGTTTAAGGCTGCTGAAATCAGTATCTGCAAAATGAACTCCCACTTTTCACCTTTGCTAACAATGCATTTATTTCTCTATTCTTGTAGTTTTAGTTAACAATGGCATACGCTAGTATAATGCAGTCATATCAAATGCAAGTGTGCAATTGAGATGGCCCCAGGTCCAGATTCAGCCTGAGAGAAGGCTCTCAGTGCCTCTGGAGCAGAAGTGCAAGGAGGAAATTGTTGGAGTAGCTTCTGTGGCTACTCAGCTCTCCCCTGTCTATGAGCTGACCCACTATGTGCAAAAGCAATCTCCACTGTGCCCTCATGTGAAAACACAAACCTACTTGGGCAGCTCTTGGGATTTGCACTTGCCAAGTTTATCCAAGCTTCTCAGTGATTTATGCAGTGTTAGTAAAGAAACAGCAAAGAGGAGTGGGGCTCCACTAGCAGGAGGCAGCTGTGAGGCAGCTATGAGGCAGGTCTGTCAGCTGGCAGGTGCTTCTGCAGTGAGCAGCGTGGTGCTCCTTTGTGCAGACATGGGGCCATAGTTTGGTATTGAAGTTTTAGCAGCAAATGAAATGAAATGCCTTGCAGAAGGGTTCAGGGCCATTGATTTTTCATACAAGTAATTGTGTGGGGGGAAGCTTTTGTGAGACTTTGGAGATTATCTTGTACTGCTTAGCTTGTGGTGCATGTTCTCAGTACATGTTACTGTGAATGCTGTGCCAGAGTAGCAGAGTAGCACATGGGCACTGAGAGATGGATCATTCACCATGTTCAAAACTGACTTCTCACCTTCTCCTAGCTTGAATAAATATGAATGAATACATAAATGCACAGACCTGCTAATTTCACTGTAAATACTGAGATACCCCAAAACAATCAACCAAGCCAGCCATGAACCAGTTTAACGAACTTAGATATGGAGTGGTTTATGGCAAAGGCTTTAGCTGCTCACACCCAGTTGTCTGTCAGCCTAGCTAGAGGGTCTCTGAGATGTTCCATGTGACTATTAAGACTACCCAATGCAATGGCATAATTAGAGGCAGTCAAATAATGATAATACCTGGATGTCCAAGAGCAGAAAGACTCTGAAGACCACTTGAGAGCCTTTTTGGCATACTAACCTGTATCTAGGATCTCCAGAAATCCTAAGAAATATCCTGCTTCTTAGGATGCCTAAGAAATATGAGTGCAGAAATTGAATACTTCACATGCAGCTACAAAGCAGAAGTGCCATCTGGTCTAAAAGCAAATACCTGATAGATCTGGGAGCCAAGGAGAACTATCTCATTACTACAATTATCTCCATCACAAGGAGAAATATCCCATTACTCTTAACCATGTGAGAACTGTTTCAGGCAGGATTTATGCCAAATCATCTAGCATCAGGAGGGATGAAAACAAAGCAAATCCAAGCAGGTTCATTTCAGAGGTAGGCACAGTCTCCAGTACACCATAGTTTGAAAGTGTACTGTTTTTCTTCCATAAGGCAAGAAAATACTTGAATTAGGGATGGCATTAAGAACTGAGCTGCTTTACTGGTGATGAAGGGCCATGGAGCTGCTGGCCTACAAAACAGCAACCTCTCTCTGCCTCAACTGTATGGTAAGGAGTGTGTGACATGGAGGGAAAATCAAAGCTGCCTTTTAGTTATCTTTGCTTTAGCCTTTTTTCTAAATACTAAATAGGTGCATTATCAATGCAATACTTGTGCACACAAGGTTTGTGCCATGCTGGTGGTTTGGAAGTTACCAATGAAGTTATTTTCATACACACCAGGACATCAATTCAGCCCATTCACAGCCCCTCCCCTCTCCATCACTAGTTTTAAACCATATAAATGAATTGTAATGCCAGTCATTTCAGCAACACAGATGTTTGCAATAAGCAGGCAGCTGAGAAGTGTAAAGTGAAGATGAATGTATCATTAGTATGCATAAGTAAACTTTTGTGGCCCATTTGTCAGATCAAGCTGAATTGCACTGAATCAGTCTTTCCAGATTACAAATGTGTTGTATTAAAGCAACAGGTTTTTAAGAAGACTGGAAAATGTCCTACTCTGATTGCTCACTGTAAATACTTTAGTGCAGAAACTTTCTCCAGTATGTTCTCTCTCTTGGCTTTGGAAGTAAAAGCTTAGGTAAAAGCTCTGTTATTCCCAGTCTGAGACCTCATTGTGTGAGAGGCTTCCAGATCCTTTCCTATCAGGGAGAGGTTCCTAAGAGTTATCAACTACTGCATCTATGACAAGATGTTCCAGTGATATATAGATGTGTTCCTTCATTTGTTTTTAAGTTGCTCTTAAACACATTTTCTTTGGAGCAATGTTTCAGCCAAACAAGACAGGAAGGTAGATTATGTTTTTTTTTGCCTTTAAGCTACTGAACATTTTTAAAAGTGAGCTATGCTTCAGTGTTTTTTGGCACATGGAATCCATCTTAATGTGGAGTACATGACAAAAAGTGCTATGCTTTCTATAAAGATCTTAAGGAGAATGACTGAGCCCCAGTACCACATTGTAAATTAACTATTGTCCTTTGTCAGCATCGAGTGTGCCCCGTCACGTCAAATAACCACAGCTGGCATCCTGTCTATGAGCATGACCCTGTTCATTTCATTCACCCAGCAGTGAATAATTCACATAGCAAGTTTTACCCTGGGCAAAATACACTGGCATGGAGTCACTAAACTATAGTCATTCACAGAACAAAATAGTTATTCATGCTTTTAACGTGAACCACTAAATCTTGCCGATTAAATTTGAG